ACGGGAAGTTCAATTGACTCATTGCAGTAATGCTCACCTTATGGCTCAGTAAGTTATCATTTGATATTTTTAATAAATACACTGCTACTTATCAGTGGGAATCAGACTTGTTAGAGCTAGAATATGTTTTAGCTATTTTAACTTTATGGAAGTTTTCCCTACTTTTCGACATTTTTTGGTTTCTCTCAAGAAAATCAAATCTGTCTGAATTCTATGTTTCAGAAAATTTTTTACAAGTGCTGAAACTTAAAATTCGTATTTTAGAGACCCGGTCAAACAAAAAAGGAGGCCCAAGGCTGCTTGTGAGTTGCGAAGTTTTACAGTATTCGTCTTTTACTATTTTTTGCTATTTTCTTCAATTTTTCCCAAAAACCAGTCACGCGAAGGCAGGTCTTAATATTATCAGAAAGTAAGAATACGTGGCATGAATCGTTTGTGGATAGGATGGAAAATATTTAGGGAACATCGCGGTCCATTTCCGAAGTTGCCCAAAGTGGATCACCCTAGCCCCATTATGCCGTACGCAGCGGCGCGGCGCCCCGGCGCCTACGAATCGGCTCAGCTGTGGCCCCTGCCCCCCCCTCCCCATAAGTCGGAAGTGTGATTTTCTCATTCACAATAGGCCTCTAGGTATTTTAGTAAGTAAATATCAAGTTATTCTTGTTTTGGCGCATTTTACAACCAAAAAACGAAACACCGCGGATCAGCCTGTTTTCGCCCCATTTAAATCAATGTAATTTTTTTGACATTTTCAGCCTCAAGTCGGCACGTTTTATTACTGTCGGAGAGCGAAAATATTTGGCAGGTATCATATTTGGATGGCAAGGAACAAATTTAGGGGTCATCACAGTTTACTGGGCAAAAAAAAAATTGCCTGTGTTGAGTTGGACCACCCTAACCTCACACGGGATGGCCGGAGCCGCTGCGTCCATCGCTCGGTTAATTCTATCATTTTAATCACCTCACAAGAGGTAAACGACACGAGAATTAGTTAATATAAGATCCACATAAGTCAAATTACATGATTTTATACATTTTAATTTTTTTCTCCCAAATTCAGTTATAGACATTTCGACGCTAGCTTGGGAGTTTTGCCCACTGTGCCCCCCCCCCCCCCC